CAGTATGCGGGCCTCTCACTGCTGTGGCCTCTCCCGTTGCGGAGCACAGGCTCTGGACGCGCAGGCTCAGCGGCCATGGCTCACGGGCCCAGCCGCTCCGCGGCATGTGGGATCTTCCCGGACCGGGGCACGAACCCGCGTCCCCTGCATCGGCAGGCAAACTCTCAACCACTGCGCCACCAGGGAAGTCCCAACTAACACATTTTAAAGCAACTATACTCCGATAAAAATTATGGAAATATCTTGCTACAAGTAGAAAAAGGCCTATGGCCCATTAACCAACTGAAAACTCAGAGAAAACCTCTGTTTGCCTCTGCCAGCAGTAAATCCTAAACACAGAATTGAGAGTTGAGAACCGTCTTGAGCTTTAACTACTGTTTCCAAATGTTGCTGCTGCATAAATTTGTCATTATGTCATCCAGCCAGCTCCGGGCGTGTCACCCACCACTGGCCGGAGACCAAGGGGGGCTCAGTACAAGGTGTTTCTAACATAGCAAGGGTTTGTGGGTTTTGTTTGTTTGTTTTGTTTATTTGAGAAAAACGGAAAGGAAAATGATGCAGCATCTAAAGCATTCAGATTGGACAACCTGCTTGAATTCTGATCAATACTTCATTGTTAGCGTTTTGCACATGATTGTAATTTTTATGTCAAAAGAAGCCAAAACTTGCAATACTATTTTTAGCAGACAAAAAAATAAAAGAACTAAATATAAAATGTATAAATATTTTTGACTTGAAAATTTGGATGGCACTGGGTGCAAATAGACCATTCATCCTTTGGACGGAATGTTTGGGAAAAAAGAGACTTGAAAAGGAGACGGTTGCTGTAAAGAGTCCATGGAGGGGTTATGTAGTACTGTAACTCACGACTGTTAAAAATAAATCAATAAATTGTCCTGTGCTGTATGAAAAAAAAAAAAAAATTTGCACCCTTGTAGCTTCTAAAGAATTTGACTCCCTGAAATTATCCTAGAGCAGCTACCAGTCTTTTCCTCTAATACTAAACATTTAAGATAAAGTTTTTGCTAATGTGTTAACTAAAGGCCCCTTAATCTTTCTAGATTTTTTTAAAAATTCAAATGTTCTATCTACTAATCTGACTTTGGTTATTAAGATGGAGAAATATAAGCCTTGGATGGGTGACCTAGTCCAGCAGCTCTAATTCCCTGGGCAAGAAAAGACAGAAACTATTCCCTCCTACCTGCATCTCCATCACTTTCCCCTTGCTGTTTGGGCTGAGTGACCACTCATAGCTGGTGATGCCGTGATCATCAGTGCTCTGATTCCCAAAGAGGGTGATGGAGTTTTGGGGCAGGGTGATCACTTGGTTGGGGCCTGCATTGGCCACAGGGGGGTAATCCACAGCCTTGTTCACTGTCAGGCTTGCAGTGGTAGAGTTGGTAGCTCCATCAGAGTCTACTACAGTCAAGCTATCAGGAAAGAGAGAGGAATGCAATCAGGGATGGTCTTAAAGAAAGAGGAATAGACATGGAAGAACTGAAAATCAAGGCTAAAAAATACCAATGTGGCAGGATTACCAATCGGTAACCAATTCTAACGCATTCTTTTTGGAAAGTTAGAATAATACTAGAAGCTAACACCGACTGAGGGTTTACTGTGTGCCAGGCACTGTTCTAAGCACTTTGTATCTCATTCAATCCTCACAACAGCTCTATAAAGTACTATCCCCATTTTACTCCTTATACATATGAGACCGAGGCAAAAAGAGGTAAAGTAACTTGCCCAAGCTTGAAAGCTTGAAAACAGTGGAGTCAGGATCTAAATCTAGACAATATATCTCTAGCACCATTTCTGCTGCCTGCACGTGTCTGTGGCTGGGACCTTTATAAGCATTGTCTGATCTGGCCCTCACAACAATCATATAGAATAGGTATCATCAACCTCACTATTATAGAAGCCTTAGAGAGGTAAGAAACCTGCCCAGAGCTAAACAGTGAGCCAACATGCAAGCCCAGTTCTCTGACTCCAAAGCCCAGAACCAAGTCCTTAAGAAGCAATAATCCCTGGCCACTATTCCTATGGGGTTCAAAGATGCTACACTAAATAAAGCAAGCTCTCCTCCCAACATCCTGTTCTGGCTGTGTACACAGCACAAGAATGGACCTCCTGGGCAGACAGCCTCTAGGATGGACCAGGGGGGCTAGCTCCAGTAAGATAGAAGCCTGAGATGGAAATGAATTCTCCTACGCAAGCGTCCCACAGTTTGTGCCAGTGTGAAAGAGAATTTGCAAGAGAAAAAAAAATGTTCATTTGTAAGAGCAGGCTTCTACCTAAATGATGCCTTCCAGCTGAACAGCCTAAAGCTTCTCTTGCCACCTCAAAATGTGAGCATAAGCAAGCAAGGAGGTTTGGGCTGCTTCCATTTTGCTGACAGAAAGAGGAAAAGCATATAAAAGACATGTCGTTTGTTTAAATCTCACAACCAGCCACAGAAAGAGCCAGACATCTGTGGGGTTTTTATCTCACAATCTCACTTTTGACCTATGATCTTAAGGGGACTTCTGATATTACAGCTTTTAGAAAAAGAACACAAAAACATCAGACACACAGACATGTGCAAATCAGCAAACATCTGAAAAAGAAAAATCCACAGAAGTTTTCCTCTCTTTCCAGTTTCTCTGTTTTCAGTTGTTGTTGTTTTTTAAACATGTCTTATTTGTCTCCTATTTTAGAACAAAAGCAAGTTATAGACAGATGGCAAAATGGCAGCTGTCCATTACGCTGACTTTCACCTCAGACAGTCCCTGGCTTGCACACAAAAGTTCTGGAACCAAACAGCAGCTGACCACAGGGCTGGGGAAAGAGGCCACTGCTCTGTAAAAGCAGGGGAGAGGAAAAGGTAAGTAGAATCAAACAGATTGGACCTTAATGCTAATCAAACCCAATCCCATCATTTCATGGACTGAGGCTTAGAAAAAAAGAACTGCACCCAATATCCCATTCACCCAAAACACTCTAGGTTAACACTGTGGTTAAAAGCTCAGACTCTGGAATCAGACAACCTGTGTGACCTTGGGCAAGTTACTTAACCTCTCTGTGACTATATTTCCTAATCTGTAAAATAAGAGCCATTATAATACCAGGTACAAGGGTTAAATGAGCTACTGCGTGCAAGAGCTCAGAACAGTACTTAACACAGTAAATGTTCAAGAAGCAGCAGCTATTATTGTTACTATTTCAAAAAGGATGAACATCACCCAGGCTAAATTCCATAACTGTTAAAATTCCTATATTAGAAATCCAAGGCGAAAACCAACTCACATTTCCATTTTAACTCAGTGAGAAGGCTCCTACCTTGTTGTAATAGCAGCTACCCTTCATTCACTTGAAGTCTTGAGTCAATGAGAGTGCTGCTAAGTCAGAACTTGTATATTTATTTGTATGGTAGGTGCTGTGCTAGGACATTCCTTGCTGCGTCTCTAGTAGTGTCTACAATGTGGTTAATCTCAGATCCAGTGGGGAAGACAGATACCCATGAACAAGCCATTGCACCATGGCAGGCACCACATAGAGGCAATGAGTGCAACAGGGAAA